TCGCGTCGAGCAAGGTTAGCATTCTCTCTCTTCGTACTGTACTTTGTGTCATATTTTTGTGATTTAAAAAAACAACAACATTTGGTTCAGAACAGATTAACTGTAATTACATTGAACCTTATGGGAAAATTTGATTCGGGTCGCGACCAATTTGGGTCGCGACCAGAGTTGCAGAACGAATTAAGTTCGTGAACCGAGGTACCACTGTATTTTGCTTTCTTAGGCAAAATAAGGGTCCAATAAATACCTGGGACCTAAACTGTGACAAAATCCCAAAGAATCTGGCTTTCAACTGTCCTCCATATTCTATAAAAAGGAGAAGAAAGAGGATGGACTCTGCCTTCAACATCCAAACAGGAGGCCCAGATGAATCTCTTCTAATCATCCTCTTCACAATAAACTTCCAACCCTGTACTAAAACACAAGAGCTTATTCAAGATAGGAATAAATAACTAGTTCAGCTAGGCTGACTATATTCATTCCATTTTTTTCTGGAATTCTGTATTTTTTCCTTTGTTTATTGTTGTATTTCCCTATTTCTGGACATTGTCCAGAATATCCAAAGCATCCTCTTATTTATTTATTTATTTACTTATCCATCCATCCACCAGTCCATCTATCCATCCATCCTGAGGCTGGACTAAATGAAGAAATCTTTTGTATAATGCCTAAAACTCCCTAGCTGGATAGACTAGAGTGTGTCAGAAATTCAGCCTATCTGGGAACAGTCAACCATAATTATTTTTAGTGGGGAATCCTCAGCAGAAGAGTTCTACAGTAAAATTTCAGATTCCTCCACCCTCCCAGTTTGTACCCCAAGCCTTAAACTGTCTGACTGTTAGATAAAGAACAGCATGCATAAGTTGAAGAAGACAAAAACAAAAATGATGTCAATAGGATAAAAATAAGCAGGCAATGCAGGCTATGAAAACAGGTGTTCTATAGCACTAATCTTGCAATCTGTATGCTAACTGGACAATGGCAAGACACTTCCACAAAAACCTTACGACAGTAATTTGGATGCATGGTTGCTACGGCAAACATTACTGCAGTCAGGAAAAATTAAAACTAGTAAACCAGCTAGAACTGAAGATAGGCATTCTTAGCCACTGTGCAGAACAGGGCAACTAAGCACCTGCATGCCTGATCTTTGCAAACCTTGGTGGAATTATAAAAAGGCAAACTCATTTTCACTAGTTTTGCCACTGTTTAAGTGTACACCAATGTTATATAAATAGGATTACATGGGAGAGGCATTTTGGGGAATCAAAGCCTCTTCAAGCTTTTCCCCAAAACTCTACATCACACATATATATGACTCCATCCATGTTGAGTATATTTCTTGTCCACCAAAATGTTAACAAACCTGCACTACAGCCATTTTGGTTCCACTGACAGGAGATTATCCCCTCAGGTCTTAATTTCAGCTTGTGAACTCAGGATATTCCTCCTAACAGTGCCTCCCCCATGTAATGTGCAGGATATATTGTAGTCTCAATTTACTGAGTTTCATCTAGTCCATTTTTGCCAATGTCCAAAAGTTGACAAAATAAAACAAATCTCACAATATTTCTCTGTTCTCACATGAGAACTCATGGGATTATGTTATTTGTTTTAATTTAAAAAATGATGGAGTAGGATTGGAATATCATATAAAATTATGCAATTGGTAGGCAACACCTGAAGGTTATCCTGAGTCTGTCCTATACTCTCTTTCCTGATTCCTATAGAATGGAGAGACAGAGCTGGGTTTCAGCTATACAGTAACAGCAACTGGTTCAAAATCTATAAAGACGTCCTCTAGCAGTTTCACTGGGATATATAAATATGGAATGCTGTAGAACCAAGGAACTCTCTGAAGCAGTCCTGCAAAGAAGGGAGTGGGGAAACAGTCCCAACTCCTGCTTGATGGAATATCTCAAGGAGGAAATCACAATCAATAGTATGAAACCAGCCCAGTCATCCAGATGAATAGGGATCCACTCCCTATCTCTCTCAAGGAACTGGCCATCCAACAGATAAGCCAAGGTAGTTACCAACTTACTTCTGAATGTCTCTCAACTGCTGTAAAATGCAAGGGACCGGGGAAGACCATGTGGTCAGTATCACTGTGCCCCAGCAGTAAAGGGACAAGATATGGTGGAGTTCCACAGGAGCCCAATCTTTTACTTTTGTTTCCTGAGCCATTTTTTCTCATTTCCCCATTTCTAAGGCTCTTCTTACTAGATCTAGGATGTAAGGCTTCCTTACATTTCGTATTTGGGCATGAGCAGGGCCCACAAAGCAGAGTGGTATTGGCCACAGTGGTCTTCTACTGAGTCCACAGACATTGTAGCAATCAGGAAGTCACAGAAAAAATCTCAGGAATGCAATAAAACATAGCTTTAATAAATGTGTCCTGATTTATTTTTCCTCCATGGGGAAAAAGCGGGCAATGTTGTCCCACTGCTTCATCACATCAGAAAAATTTTCTGACTGTAGCAAATTTAATACTGTATGGAAGATTCTGACAGGAAGCAAGCTACCCACAGTGCCAATCTGGTACAATCAGGGAATGTTTCAAAGAAACATTTCAGTTTAGGCCTGCCCACATACTACAAGAAGGAGGCACTGTTCCAAAGATGATTAATGTCTTCAAAAGACTCAGAACCCTTATCCTAGCAACTCTTGCAAGAGTTATGTCAGGAATGTTTTTCTGAGTTTTCACTCGTAAGCCTGTTTAACATTTGAACAAAATTCTGAATTCATTCAAACTAAGATCAACCAATATTCCACCTGTCTGATCTTATTAGAATTTGCAACTCTTTTTTTAAGTAAGAGTTAAATTGCTGCCAGTATTAATATACCTCTGTACTAATGACCACCAAATTTAAACAAGTCATAGTTTTAACTGAGCAATACTGAAGAGCTAAGAGCACTGGCAAAGATAAAAGAGCACTTTTACCTCTCTCTTCAGCTATATAAAAAGCAGCAGAGATGTTGAGTCTCAGCTTTGCATACTTGGATATAAAAGTTCTAAAAACATGATAGCAGACCATTATTTTTGAATTCTGGACCAAATTACTACAAGTGGAAGATTTCCAAATGCACACATGTAAAAATAAATAAATAAATAAGTGTTTTATTTAGTAAATGTAAATATTGGGCAGTAATAAGTAATACAGCCCAGAATTTTACCATTTCAGCCTATTACCTGATCCTGCAAAATTTCTAGAACTTCTAAAGACTTATTAACACATATCTGTCCTATTCCCACATGATACCAATAAAAGCTTTCCCAGTGGCCTTCTAAGTACTTCTGCTGTTCATTCTCATTTCTTATGCTTTGGCTGGTACATGTGAATAATTATTTTGAGATGCTTTAATGGTGGAAATTCTGACAAAGCCTCTGTTCGTATATATGCTAGAGAAAGGAGGATTTAAGCCTTCTGTAACGTGTTGAACAAAGCAACCAAGAAAGTTTGCCCAGCTAGAGAATCCTTAGAATCAGCCACTAATTTAAGTGGAAGAGATGAAAAGACTTTGAAGCCAAACTAACAGTTGTTTTTCCTTGTTCTAGGGAGTGAATGACCTTGAAACTAACTCAGTACCTCTGAATACCAAACACAGAGAAAGAGAGAGAATAATAAGACAAGGAAAATAATCTGTGCCAGTAGCTCTGTGTACTTATTTCAAGGTTAAAGATAAACAAAAAATAAAACAGGTTATCAATTGTAGAAAAGCTGGTTATATAGTCACAAGTCTTTCTCCATTCAATTATGTTGCTAACACAATGCATAAAGACATT